CACTCACTCCGGTTCTTGGAGTGGAGCAGGGGAAGAAAAATTCTCCTGAATTCCTAACCTACGACACTTTCTTAATGTTAACTAATTGATTAGTCTTATACTATCATGGTAAGGCCAATGCTTTTCAAGTGACTCTAATTGATGAGAGGCCTGATGATACAGTTAGTTGCATCTTCCCACATGCGGATCACAGGGAGTTTTTCCTGCAGCTGTGGTATTTCACTCAGTGATTAATTTTAAAGGAGGACTTGGTTGTAACCGAATGTGGAGACACAGAGTCTGAGAGCTGGACTAACGGGTGGAGGCAAAGAGGCAGAAGTAGTCAGGCCTCCTGTTGGGTGTACGGCAGGGACTGTACAGAAGCACTGTGTGTTCAGTGAGGTGCTGTGTAATGCTGGCACAGGGGCATCTCCTGACTAGCACCCTTGCAGCTCAAGCACCTGCAGAGAAGGGCTTTCTCCCCTCTTACCTGCTAACATACAGAACACTGTGCAGGAGGTAGTCACAGTGTCCTTGAAGTTCAGCAAGGCTTAATCTTTACAATGCTTGTGTATTAATGCAGCAGAGAAGGACCTGCAATCTGGTAAATCCATGATTTCCCTCAGTGGTGGTGTGTACCAAAAGGCTGTTCAGGAAACAGAACCAGCTTTTAACAGCCATTTGTGGCCTGGAATAGGTTTCAGCTCTTAACTCCCACTTCCCAAGAAAATATCCTAACTGTTATAGGTCAGGAAATGCACTGTGTTCTGATCCTAGATGGCTTATATGCATACATAATTGTTAATTTTGGTCTAGGATCTGTGTAAAATGCAGAACAATTCTGGACAAAGGGCTAAGGTCCAGGAGCGTTCCCTCAAGCTAGCTGAAGGGACTCTTCACCTACTTTTCCTTCTGTCCAGTGACTCTTGTGTTATTTGCATTACAATCCTATTTCAGCCCAGGGAATATGTGTACCCATGGCCTAAGGTTAGGGAATTAGGAGACAGGTAAATTCCTCAAGAGAGAGAAGGGCCTACCACTTGCAGCAAGGGTTCTATGTGACCAAAGAACATCCCCATTTTTCCATAGTTGGCTGTATTCTTGTTTTCAAGCGATCCTGATTAGAGCTACACTTGAATGCCTTTGGCATTTGTTGGATATGCAGCTTTGACTGCATCCGTGGCCCTAGGAGGTTTTGCTGCTATTTTGCTGGGTCCTGATGGAAAGAGCTAGCAGGAGCTAGTTGCGCAGTGCATATCAGGGAGTTAAACTTAAAAGATTTTTGGGGAAAAAAGGACTCTTATTTTGGTTAGGCAGAAGATCAGATGAACTTAATCAGACTAGTTAATCCTTCTTAAGATTGTCCACTATCAGATTTACAATAGTACCTGTTATCAGACACAATTTACCTACACTTAATTTACACATCTTAAACCTTGAAGTAGGTAAGCTGAGGATAAGAAACTCTTCAAGAAAGCTTTCTCCACTACAGGATGATACTAGTGATTTGAGGGAGTAGAGGAGGAGCACAGCTTGGCGGGACATACTCTGCTTTTGGAGTGGATACCTTCTGGAAAACAAGCAAATTAGTACCTTGGAAAGTAATGCCCATGAGTTTTATGCCAAATATTTGTTAAATGTGGCCGTTCTAATTATTCTAGCTGAATTAGTAGATAATTTAAGAACTGTGGATTAATTTCCCCTGAACCTCTTTCTATTTTAATGTTGCTAGTGTACAGTTCTTTCTACCTCAGCCATAGCTGCTTTTAGGTAATGAGTATATGAAATGTGTATATGTGTTCAGGAAATCATTTGGAATTTGTGTACATGAAAAAATACAAATACTTCACATTCTCAATATGGTGCTGATGGTTTGAGGTTAATAAATTTTTTTTATAGTGTTAGTAAAAAAAGGAAATTTTGGGTTCAAAACTAGTATTAAATATTTTGATTCAGTCTTTTAATCAATTGTTAAAATAAATTTAAATTACAAGATTGGTGAGCAGTAGAATTAATGAACATCACTTTAGCCTTTGGCATACTAAGCACTTTGAAAGGGGACTTCTGCTAATTTGTGTCATGTGCTAAGAGAATCTCTGGTTCAAGTGACCAGAAATTTGGTACCATTGGGGTACTTCAGACACTTCCTCTCCATCCATCCATATCCTACAAGATAAAAAGGATGTCTCTTTCATCGAGTGAGGGGCAAGCTATCCACATCATCACATGGCTTTTACCTTTGAAATTTTTCTTATATATCCATTCTCATTTACATACAGAAAATTCAGTTAGGAGCAGATATTTCAACACCTGCAGAATCTCAACTGGTATATTTTTGAGTGTACTGGGTACTGGGGTTTCATATCCCAGGTCAGTTTTAGCATCTTTTCTCAATATTGAGCATTTTTAGGGAAGGGAAGGTTTAGAGTAATTTTTTAATTATTATTTTCTGTTTCAAAAATTAGAGTAGCATACATACATTCAAGAGATTTTGCATCATTCTTTGCTCAGAAAGGCTGAGAACATCCTGTCCGTGTAGTTTCTATAACAAAACATGAATTTTATTCATGAACATGACTCCTTGAAATTATTTACAATTAAAAATTCTGAAGTAACCCTTCCTAAGTCATTATTTCCTGTCCCTGTTAAGGGAAAAGAAATATGGAGTCCTTTTGAGAACTCTACTCCTAAATATTAGCACAAGGGTAAAGCACTTTTAAGTGTGAGCATTGTGTAATAAGATACTTTTTCTTAGTCAAATGGGGCCTCAAACTGCCCCATTCTTTTTTGGAGTGTTACATGAAATTTCTATGTCATTTTTTTTCTTGCCTCTTTTGTTGTTACTCTTGGTGCAGTTCATCAGATTCAGCATGCTTTTTTAAAGCCAAATAACTTCATAGATCTATGGTAAGATACAGCTGTATAAGTGGCTGAAGTATAGTTCTTGAACCAGCCGTGGCACTGCAGGACTAGTGATGGGGAAGTGTGCTCAAGCACATGCTTAGGCAAGTTAGGAAAAAGTTTCACAATCATTTAATTCTGCATCTGCATGCTGCTCCAGTAATAGGACAGTTTAGGCTGTAGTCAAATGCTGGGCCAATCTAGGATGATATTTTCATTCAAATTTGCAGTGTATAGTAAAACTTGTGCCAGATTTCTGCTGGGTTTATGTAAGACCACAAGCACAAATTTAACCAGTTAAAAATACTTAATAGATGCAGAATGAGGTTACCCTGGAGCAACATTTTGCTGCTTTGCTGCTTCTCTGCACCCCCATCTGCTCTGTCAGCACTGGATAATCTTGATTCAGAAGTGCCCTACTGGGTTTCACTCCTCTGCTACAGCACCAGCATTTGTGTACAGTAAGAACAATGGGGTTCGTGAAACATTTTTGTGCCCCTATGCCATCCTGTGTGGCTGTTAGCTCACCCTTCACCCGTGAGGATGGACTGGAAACATGCCACCAAAGGAGCTGTCACCACCCCACGCACGGACAGCAATTGTGTCTTTCCCCTGACACTTAGGAAGATGGAGGCCAGTGGCTCCTGCCACTGCTGCTGCCTGTGCTGCACAGCCTCAGCTCCATGTGGGTCTCCATTTCCCTTGACCTGTTCCCAGCGCTCCTTCCTTACATTAAGTTATTTTTCTCCTGTCCTTTATGAGTTTAGTGGCAGATTCCAGCTGAGGGATGGCATTGTATACCTCTGCGATTTAAGCGGTGCAGCCATTTAAATAGGGTGATGACTCATGCTAGCACCCCTCTGCTTGGGTAGGGGTCTTCTCTGTCCTTGGCAGCAGTGAAAAGGCTTCAGGCACACAGAGACGAGGACAAAAAAAAAAAAGAACTATCCCTAGCTTTTCCGTTTTGTTTTCTGGAAAACATGATTAAGTCAGCATTCCTAGGAAAGGTGAGGCACTTTTTGACTTGAGAGTACAGAAATGGTGCAAGATGGCACTGTGCCCAGAGGCAAGGGGATGGCTGATTAAACAGCTCACAGGGTCTTCAGAGAAAATTATGTGCAGCCTCGATACACCCGCAGGTTTAATTTTCTTTTACTGTTACCTTCAGTTTCTCTCCTCCCATGTTTATCCACTTTATTTGGGTGAAAGGTGAGGAGGAAGAGGAGGAGGTGCTCTTTCAGCTGGAGGTACTTCAGCGTTCATCAAGGAAGACTGCTGTCTCCGGGCTGCGGACGTGTTTGTTTCCAGGTTCTGAGGGGAGAAGGAAAGCCTGCCCGAGGAGCAGCAGCTGCTGCTCAAGTGTCGTCTGCTCTGATCGCCTCTTTTGACTTTTTTGAGGAAAAATTTGAGCCAATTTCCTCAGGTAATGTTTATTGAAGTGAAAAAACCAGCAAACCCAAACAACAAAAAGCCCCACGTTTCTGTGAGCATCTCTTCTTAAAGTCTCTTCACCTTCACGCACCGAGCACTTTCCCCCCCTTCCTTCGCCGCGGGCCCCACCGCGGTGCCCCCTCCGTCCTTCCCCGGGACGCGTTGCCAGGGGGACGGCGGCGGCCATGAGCGGCCATGAGGGCCGGCAGGGGAGGCTCGGCGGGCTGGCCCGGCCGGCGGCGCAGGTACTGCGGTAACAAAGGGACGGAGGGCAAGGCAGAAAGGGCAGAGGGTCTTGGTGTGGTTAGGGTTTGGTTTTTTTTTTTGGTTTTTTTTTTGTTGTTTTGGGGGGGGGGGGGGGGGGGGGGGGGGTTGGGGGGGTGTTGGTTTTTTGGGCTTTTTTTTTTTTTAATATTCCTCTGTTAGAAAATAAAGCCCCTGGTTTTGGAAAAGTGCCCCCTTCTCACCTCACTCTTCAATAGCTTCTGTCGGTGTTGCTGTGGAGGCTGACTGACACTGAGGCTGGTTGTAAACCCCCTTTGCAAGTAATTTTTTTCAATTTTCAATTTAATTTTGCCTTTCAACCCCCCCCTCCCCCCCCCCCCCCCAAAAAAAACCCCACACAACCCAACCACTTTTGCCTCAAAAAACCAAACCCCCAAAACACAACTTCTGCAGGTGCAGAGCTGTACCCGGTGATCCACGTGTGGTGCAGTTGAAGCTCAATGAACTTCAGCTGATCATTACAGCTTATCTTTATACACTCAAGGCCAAAAAGATTTTTCTTACTAAGTCTTGCAGAAGGGAGTAGCTTTCACGAAGTAGGAATTTATAGTAGTTATCTAAGAATGTCTTCTTTGCATCTCTTCTTCCTTTGAAACTGGTTTGCTGGCTTTGATGTGAATTTAAGGGAGAGAATATTGCTTAGAAGGATCAAACTCTTTTGTACTAAAGATATAGTAGAAAACTTGTAACAGCTTTGTATTCCAAAGGATAAAAAAAAATATTTTTGTGTGAACAGCTCAGTACCTCCTTAACAGTTGAACATCGCTTTTGTAATGAAGCTATATTGTTCTGAGACAAAAAAATACAGAATTCTGGTAGTTTGTGGTGGCAAACAACTGCCATTATACTAAATACAACTGTTATAACCCAATTACAAAGTTTTTCTTAGCACTGCTTACTGTTAGAGATGACAGCAACCTGCTCCACGTTCTACCTATCTGAAGTCAAATAGTTTGTGAATGTTGCTTTTGGGACTCAGAAGCACATTAGATACTATGTATTTATAAAATATGGGTTACAACTGGTAAATCAAACTACAGCACTAATCAGTCTTTAATTGTGTATATACCAATACACTTAAATATTTCTAAAATATTTACGTTTTCTTGATCGCTGTATAATAGGCATTGTAGGAAAATTGCAAGATGGTCTGTTATTTAAATCTCGCATATAAGTTATTCTGTTACAGAAGTTATTTAACTCTATTCAATACTGATGAAGGAAAAGCAGTAGAATAAGTTGTTTGCACAAATCCCTGCATAAGCACTTAATTTTGTCTTAGCAATTACCCTTTTTATTGTTTTGGAAATAAACACAGCAGCTTTTTGTTAATAATTTTGGAAAAGCTGTGAGAGAAAGTGTCAGGGGAGTTCCATATTACTTAATTTATTCATACAGACAAAAGATGAAGTAACTCAGAAAACATGTTAAGCAATGTTTAGAGTAGGTGATGTGTCTCTGTAATTGCTTTGAGATGAGTGCTTTCATCATTTTAAATGCATTTATTACATATAAATGGAAAGTCACCTCATCCTAACAGAGAGAAAAATGAAAGATAAAAACGCTTTAACTGCTGCTTGTAGTAGTAGTGAGTAAGACTAAAATTTTTATTGTGATGAAACTTTCATTTGGGCCCATTAATCAAGCTTGAAATTGGCCTCTTAAGTAGAGGAACACCAGAGGGTGATTTTTATCTTCAATAATACCTTTCAATGATTACTGCAAAGGGAGGAGAGTAGACCTCAGCAGTAGCCTTCTGAAAGGAATTTAGAAAATCTCTTTGGTAATTTATCTGAACTGCTGGGAACATTTAGTTTTACATGCTTCTGCAACAGTACACTAATGCAGAAAAACTTCACAGACATATAACAATAGCAAGAAGAGAACTTTTCAGAATTACACAAAATGCAAGCACTGAATTGGGTGTAGTTACAAGGAGAAATCAGCAAGGGGAAATAAGACTTTACTGAGCAGGAAGTGATCAAAAGTAATTGGTTATTTCTGGCATTTTAAGATGTGCAAGAGCAACTGACAGAATGGAAATAGTTGTGAAATATTATTTGCCAATTTTGATTTATGTTAATAAGTCTTTATCAGTACAAACATTTTGAGTTTCCTGACAGGCAAATTAGGCAAAATATTATCTATAAAGAAGTCAACATTACCCAAAATATACATACAAGATATTTAATTTGAGAACTTTTTTCTGCCCTGAAATGACTCCAATTAATTTTAATATGTTTTCGCATGTGTTAACAAAATCTCAGACACTGTGTAATAGTATCTTACCCCTCTCATGCTCATTGGTGTGTGTAGCTGCTGTGGCTTTTCTGAGGCAATGTGCATGCTGGATAGCTGGCTAGCTGCTGCTACCAAGAAAAATATGCTGTAGCCAAGTGCTACCTGCCTTCCCTGCATTTGACTCAGAAATTAATCTCTAAAAATTGTCCAGTGCCTGGTTTTCATGTTACTTATTAAAATAAGATTTGCTTTTTATCTTGTAGATTTTATGAAAAGAAATGTATTCTAAAACTTGTTTTTATACTAGGATAGATTATTTAAAAAAAAAAATATGTATTTGCTGCATGCTGAAGTAGAATTTTCTTTTTGGATCAATTTATTCAGAAATTTAAGCTAGTTAGGTTGTGGATGGCAACAAATTTTTAATACTAGGTTTCTAGCTGTAGATAGAATAGTGAGTGTCAAAACAATATTCAAGATCCCTTTTTCAGCAGTTCAGCCCATACAGAATGAATTCCTCCTGGTTCCTCTTGTCCTGGAGAGCACCTTAGCCTCCTACAGACCCAATAACAAGTTTGGGGACTAACATTTCTTTGTGATTGCTTATGGAGATAAATTCTGTGTGGAAATTTTTCAGCTGCCCATTCTTCCCAGTACTTCATGTTGGATGTCTTCTTCTTACTTGTTGTGGCAAATAATAATAATCAACTGTGCTGTTGAATTGTATTTTCAGAAGTTAGAACAATTTTCATCCACATATGCACCCATGAGCATTCATTTGTCTTGGGAAGAAATATTACAGATTTGGGATTTGTCAGTTTGTTTGTTTTCAGAATATGAACAGTTATGACACTGGGAATTATAGAAATTGTTGAACATTGCACTGCATCCAGTCAGTTAAGATAGATCATGTGTAATTGCTCAGACTTTTTTTTTTAATTTTGAAATATGTCAGTGTAGAAGACATGCAGGACAAAAGGAGAGATGAAATAAAACTTGGAGCACGTGAAAAGCAGTGGTAAAGGAAGTGATCACTGCACAAAGGCTGACTGTGTAGCTGAACTGGTGAATATGACCTTGAGAAGTCAAAGTGAAGGTGTCTGTTTTAGTTAGGTGGGCATTTGAGTGTGGTGGAGGCCATCAAAGTGCACACAGCTACTAGAGAAACTTTCCCATGGTGTTTTGCTTTTATGCCCAACTTTGCTGATGGTAACCTATGAAAAAGTTTAGTATAGCAGGCCTGTTAAAAATTAATGTCGTGCCATCATATTGCAAATCTATTTAATTTTCAACCTTTCTTCCCCTTGCCCCCCATTTGTTCTGTAGAAGCAAAGGAAGAATGGATTCGACAAAGGTTCGTGAGTCATCATTTTTGGTATGTCAACCTCAATGGGATTAGATGCTTTGGGAATGGGAAGAAGAAATCTCTGCCCTGAGGATTGTCCATCTGCTGTGGGCAAGAGGCAGTGCATTGACAAGTCACTCAGGGTAGCAGTGGGTGCTTAAAGGCTTATGGGGGGGCTTTCTGTTTCAATAAAGACATTTTTAAATATATGCTTTGGCAAAGAGGTAGAGAGAGTGTGTGCAGGCAATGGCAATGGTAGCAGCATTTGCTAGGACTGAAATAAGAAACACTTCAGGAAATAAAAGCTGGCAAAAGCAGAATGGAAGTGAGTGACTTGAAAAGTTGGCTGATTTCAAAGTACGTGGATAGGTGTAAAACTACTGAATGTTGTTGAGGTTTCATTGTTTCTTAATCAGATGAAGTTTGCCAACTAAAAGCTGGGTTCCAGGGAGGTGAAGGTAGTTATTTGGTAAAAAAACAAAACAAAAACGGGCAACAATAACAACAATGACCATATATTGTTGATTTTCTAAAGAACATTTATTGCTAACAAAACCAAAGGTCCAAGTAGATACTGCTCTTAGGTATTGTAAATATACGTTTAGCTTCTGTTTAGCATTTGATGTTAAATGAAAACTTCATTTTCTTGCAGGTAAGTGGAAAGGGATCAGAAAAGTTAATAATGTGAACGGGAGAACCACCCAAAACCTTGATTATTTAGAGTGGATTGAGTGATAGTGTATTAAGGCTTCTCCTGTCTACTGCCTCTTATTCTTTTAACACTTTATTAATTCTATTTTATTAACAGTAATCAGTATAGGCTACAGAATACTCATGAAACATCACAAATCTGAATTTTTCCAGAGATATAAAAGTGGCACATCCCCATTACAAATTTTAGCCCTACAGTAGAGTCATGCCAAGTTAATTGAATTGTCTGATAGGTCTTATTAAAGATCTGACTTGCGACTGACTGATGGCAAAGCATAGAAACATAGAAAACTATTAATACTAAACCATGCACGTTTCCTGCCGAGAGTGTGATGGTACTGCTAACTTTCCTAGTGTGGTGCCACCACATGATTAGCTTTATATGTACTAAGGCACTGGAGGATGCAGAGATCTGCCTCTGTAAATCTCACTAACACTGTAGATGAGTGAAATGGTAATTCCCATTGACTTTTGCACCTGGCTTCATTTTAACCTCTTTTTTTTTTAATCCTTTTGGATGTGTATCTGAATCTTAAAAGTGCTCATCATTTTAAAATCTAGATTTGTATGAAAAACACAGGTTTTGGAAATTACAGCTGCAAAGCTATTATGTTGGTTATTGCTGCTGAATGGGGGCTTCTTTCTTCATCAATGCTCTGAAATGTTTTTATTTCATCAGTTTTGAGATGTATTCCTTCCTTCTGTGAAGTCATAAGTGGCTGTATTTGTTTAGCGAAGAAAATCTACATTAATACAGTACTATAAATATAATAACATACATAAATGGCATACACAGTGTTACTGTTTGCAAGCTCCATCTGTGGTTGTGGAGCCCTGCTGTATTACAGAATGAAAAAATGCTCTCTACATCAAAGAGTTTCATGTGGTTATACAGTGTGAAACAAGTGGAGTAGAGCAAAAGGAAGACAAAGTACCAAGGAGGTGGCACATGCCTTTCCTCACTCCCTCAGCAGGGTGATAAAAGTAGCCCTTTTATCTTTGAGATTGTGTTGTATGTGGCCGTGAGCTTACTCCATGTATCTGACTGGCTTGATGAAAGTGGCAACTCCTTTATGAAAGAGCACAGCTGAGTGTCTCTGGGGGAGATGAATGCAATTAAACTTGATGGGTCTAATCCAGTGTCTACTAGCGCATTGAAGAAAGATGAAAACAAAGAGTTGGCAATATTATAGCAACTAATCCAAGGTGATTTATCTTCTGTTGCAGTCTTAACTAGTAGTTTTGCCTTATTCCCCAGGGATTTCTCTGTGTGTTTCTTGGTAGAGATTTCTTTTACTCGCTGTTAATTTTTTTTTTCTGTTTAGAATGGGTAGGAGCTGCACTTGTAATTTATCTCAGCCTGGAAACTGATTCTGATGTAGAAAAGCATGAAAAGAAGACACCTTGTCTCTGTCTCTATTGGGATGCCTTGTTCCAACAGCAGTCATTGGCTGGGGGAGTTTTGCATTTTGAAATGCATACCCAAATGCATGAGGATTGCAGTCCTGTGTGAGAGCTGATGGATTAAAAATATCACATTCGATCCTATGCCATGTGTGCTCCCAGCATAACTTAAACTTAGTTCTGTTCTGAAGAGGTTGCATTTCATCGTTTTATAGTTACTGTCAATTGAAAAAAGGTTCAATTTAATAAAACTCATGTCAAGACCTCAGGTCTTAATTTTCTTCTTGAAAGACTTAAGTAATAAAGGCCAAGAAATCCAGTGCATTCCTGCTCTACTCTAGAAGAGCAGAGCAGCGCAAGGAGGAGAAAGCCTACTGTAGAATCTAAAGGGCACACCTAAAAGAGTTGTGCAAGTGGTGTGAAGGAGACTGTGCTAGAAACACAGAGGCAGTGCTTGCCACAGAATCAGGACTTGAAAAAGAATGAAAGGAAGTCATCATGGTGATTGCTGGGGATGAGAACACATCAGTCAGAAGGCTGAAGTTGTATCCTAGTGATGAACTTCAAAAGGACCATCAGCCTTGACAGGTTAGAAGTAAAAGAACACATGGCAAGCCAAAAAGTGACTTGGAGGAGCAGATACAAGTGTCTGAGTAGACATGGGCTCTTCAACCTGGTAGAGAGACTGTGGAGAGTAAGATATGATAGAAATTGGCAAAATCGTGACCGGCACAGAGAAGATGGATAGCCTCTGCTTTTTTTTCAACAATTCTTCCAAAATAAAAATGAGGGGACAAGCAATGGAACTGAAGTCTAAAAAACCAAAGTGGTTCTTTGCGTAAGATACATCCAAGGACTCCTGTTGGGTTAAAGTTTACGTGAGCTGAAAGAGTGACTGGATAGGTTTGTAGAAGAGGGACCTTTTGAATGTTGCCAAATACATAGAAACTGTTGGAAATAGCCAGAGCTGAAAGCAGTGGAAGGCCATGGGATTGTTGAGGGAGAATATCTTACAGGCTATTATACTTTAGCACTGATGTTCGTGGCTGAACTTACAGATTAAAGTAGTGAATGGTAGAAAAGTGACGGTTTAACCTATTTTTCAGTAAGGGCATGCTACTCTGGGAATGGCACATTCGGAATAATGTGCTTTATCAAACAAAAAAGCACTGCAGTAAAAATGTTCAAAAGTGCAATCTCCAATGGTTTTGTTTTCATGCTGTCTTCACAGGAATCTCATGATCGCGTTCTTTTGGATACTCCTGTCACTAGAGAGCAAATGAATCACTATCAAGCTGCAGCTGAAGCTGTTCAAAGTGAACTTGCAGCACTTTCAGTGAAGTATGATTGTGTCGAGTCAGAGGTACATTTAAAAGCATTTCAAATCCTTCTCTAAACCTGAAAATTCTTTGGGGATACTTTATGCAGAGAATAGAAAGCTTGCAGAAATTCCAAAACTTGCTTTTGCAACAAACTTTTGGTTTTTTGTAACATTTTTGGTTTTAGAATTTCTGTGTGATTTTTACTTTGCTTCCTTCTGTGATCAAGAGCTAATTATGAGTTTCTGTTTGAAAGATTTGAAGCAGTCTAGCTTTTTATCATCGTCATCTAAATTCAATCTTTTTATTTTAAACCTGAAAGTTAGTATTTTTAAATTGTGGTTGTGTAAAAGTTCTGATAGATGTCCTCCTGTTGTTGCTGGTGAGTTAAATTATGGCTGCCCATCTTTACCCGTTTCTCCTCTTTATTCAAATCACAGCTCCACAAATTTGCTTTGCTTTCATCATCAGTGAAATTTTGTTTTTACTAATGAGGTTGATTGTAACTAGAAAGGCTGAAGAACACATACACATACTTTGCAGCTCTTCCTGCTGTCTAGACAGTGCTTCTCAGGAGAGGTTTTATTACAGAATATTTCCACAAATTTTTTTTTTTAATGTATGACTGACTAAAGTTGATTTGATCGACGTCAGCAGTGTGGGCAGTGGTCAGTTTTAAAATGGAGTAAAATTTGCCTTTAGAAGACATGAAATGCTTATGTTTATTTACAGTATCCAGACAGAACTACAGGAATAAGTGTCCATTGGCTGAACTTTAATTTGATGAGTTGATCATGAAATGACTGCAGAGTTCCCCTACATTTAACATCCAGCCAGGATCGGTGCTTTAAATTTCAATTTTAAAAAGCCATACAGAATCTCATGTTCTCATACAAAGAATTTATTACTGGAAATGTTGAATGACTTTATTGCCAGAACGACTGAATGATTTATAGATTCTTTCAAGACTGTGCTTGCAAAAGCAAAAGAATAGTCAAGAAAGCAGCTGTTCGTGCTCTTGTTAATAAAGACCTTCATGACCCAGCTGAGGTCAGAGCCTTGTTCTGCTGAGTGCTCTGTAAAACTCATGATATGGGATTATTCTTGCTTTTTCTGCTATTGGAACTGACCACGAAGACAATGGACAGAGGAAAAAATAATCATATGGGGAGTTGAACCACAGAGAAATTTTAAGGTTATGAACACTCTAAGATACCAGAGTTTGGTCCAGCTGCCAAGCAAAGCAATTCTATTGTTCCTTTAGCTGCTCATTTCCTTCCCCACACTGCCCCACCCCTTGTGCCGGCACAGATGTATATGTAGTTTTTATGGTGCACTGTTTTGTCGATGCAATTGAAAAAATAATTCCTTTCGAATTGTGTTTTAGCCAGATCAGTTTCCCAATCTTATTTCACCTCGTAGCCATATTAGTGCTTCTGCTAGCACAAAGAACAGGGTGGAGTATGGAAATGAAGCCCATGAACCTGGGAGAAGGCCAAGCTGCTTTTCTTAAAGTCAGTGCTGCTTTATGTCAGCTCCAAGGTGTCTGATAAACCAGCACTTGCATGTGAAGCATAAGCTTATTGAAAGTTGTGCTGCTACTGCAAGGGTGATTCTCCTACCTGATTTTTCAGTGTTGGCCTTTTCTCTGTGATGTGGCCACCTGCACTTCCTCTTTCTCCCCTGTGAGAGGAAAAGTGAATTCTTTTCTGTCAGCTGTTATTTAAGTTGTTTGTGGAGGAGTCAGACAAATGCAGAGCTGGTGCAAGGTAGAGGACAGGCATGTGTGGCTGGAAGCAGGAGAAGCAGGACCTCTCTTTTCCAAGGCAGTTGCTGTTCAGTTGGCTCACTAGCCTCTTGAATTTCTCTGAATATTCTTGGGTTTGGTCACACTGGAAAACTCTGGCAGAGCAGTGAATTTTACATTGTCCTGAATTGCAGTTTAATGTCCTAAATATTTTTACCTTAAAATGTTTGCCACAAGTTAAAAGCCCTACCATTCTTCATAAAGAGCAGTTAATGTGGCTTAATTATTTGCCTGTTAATTTTATGTAATGGGAGAGGAATGCTTTGGATTGCATCTTGCTGCTTTTAAGTGGAATTGTCAGGAGATCTGAAACATGCCTTAATGCTTCTTGTGATAAAAAAATCCATTTTAAATTATTTGTTCCTTTTAACAAAATTGCAAGGAAATTTTATTTGCCTAGTGTGTCTCCCTCAAGCTCAGTCTCCTTCAGAAGCTTGTAGCAGAGATAGTTCAATGGAAAATTGTATTTTTAACTAAAAGAGAGAGGAAAGCCAAAAAACTGCATTGAATTGGATTATCAGACCAAAAAATAGCGATTTACATAAGATGAGAAGAGGTTGCCTACTGCACAACTTTCCAAAGATTTACTTGCCTCTGAATATGTCACAAATTATGAAGAGGCTCCATACCCATACAACAGGGTACTTTGCTGTTACAGCTTCCTGCAGCTTTAGATTTTCTGTGGAATTGTGCACCAGAATTGGAAGCAGGCAAGTGGCAGGCAAAAAAGAGGGAATAGTGGTGTTAATAATTTTATTGTAAAGCAGATGCATGCAAGACAAGATTGTACAGCAGAACTTAAGGTAAACTTTTCCTAAATTTTGAATTATTAAATAAACTTATCTTCCCCTAAGATATTATCATGAAAAATTGTATTGTGTTACCCCACAGTAGCTTTTGTTCTTACAAACCTCTTCTATTACTTTTTCCTAGTTATATGAAAGTAAAGTTGTATCCCTCCACTCAGTCTTGTAGTGGTAGAAAACTGAATCTTCTGTTCCAAATTGTGTTTTTTTATCACATTGCTAAGCTTGTAGTACAGTCACATTATCTCACAGAATCACAGAATATGCTGAGAGATCATCGAATCCAGCTCCTGGATCTGCACTGGACCATCCCCAAGAGTCACACCATGTGGCCAAGAGTATCATCCACATGCTTCTTGAACGCTGTCAGTCTTGGTGCTGTGAACACTTCCCTGTTCCAGTACCCAACCACCCTCTGGGTGAAGAATCTTTTTCTAATACCCAACCTAAACCTCCTCTGACGCAACTTCAGGCCATTCCCTAGGGTCCTGTCACTGGTCACCACAGAGGAGAGATCAGTGTCAGCCCCTCCTCTTCCCCTCACAAGGAAGTTGTAGACTGCAATGAGGTCTTCCCTCAGTCTCCTCCAGGCTGAACAGACCAAGTTCAGCTGCTCCTCATACAGCTTCCCCTCAAGGCCCTTCACCAGCCTTATTGCCCTTCTCTGGACAGTCTCTAAGAGCTTAATATCTTTCTTATATTGCGGTGCCCCAAACTGCACACAATATTCAAGGTGAGGTTGCACTAGTGCAGACTAGAGCAGGATAATCACCTCCCTCAAGCCTGGACAAATTACTCTCCATTAATTTTCTCTTTTTCTATCTATAGCTTCTTGAACTCAGGTCCAGCATAATCTCTAAAGAAGCTTCTTTTCAAGAGCTGAAGGCTGAAGCTGAAAACTATAAGGAAAACAATGCTAGACAGATGTCTTGCCTCCTGTCTTTGCAAACACGAATCCAGGAGATGGAGGAAGAGTTTTGTGTGCTCGCCACTTCTAAAAACCAGGCTGAGCTGACAGCTCAGGTGGCATATAAGGAAAACTGGGAGCTGAAGGAGGAGCTGCACAGTCAAAATGCCAAACTTAAGTAAGAGTCATGTAAGATGAGAATTAATTTTTGTTTGGGATGACAGAATGGTGCAATTATCAATACAGAAAAATATATTGGTGGACAATCTTTATTTCAGTTCTAAATTCTGTTACAATGCCTTGCAAAACTGTTGTACTTGAGTGTGTGGAAGGTGTTGAAATTTGAATTTTGTTTTGAGTTGTTAGCCCATAAATGGGATTTTGAGTGTTTTGTCCTTCAAAGTTGAAATGATGATACAAATCAACTTGGTGTAACCTCATTGTTTACAAAAAAAGAAGCACAGAGGGCTGTTACTCTGAACACAGTAGAAGTTATATATATGCTTTCCTCATTCAAGTTATTTCCATGTGTGGCACTGAGGCAAACTTTGTACAGACTGGTGCCCTGGTCTGTCCTTATTACATGCCATCTTTTACAGACATTTACCATGGGCACACTGCATAGACTATGCAGTGGTGAGTGACTGTGCTCCTGGACCACCCTGATCTGTTTTCCCCTCTTCTCTGTCACAGCTGGAACCAGAACAGCATCAAGTGAATTTCTTTCTTAGTGTAAAGCTGTCTGTTAAGAGCAGTCTAATAAAGGAAATATAGTATAATTCCTAGTTAGTAGCATCCTGAAAGGAACATGTTAATGTTTGGTTAATGTTTGTACAGCTTTCAGTAATGTTAGCTTTCTCTGACATTGCTTCTGCTTTCTTTTGGATGTTGCTGTGTGGTCTTGTTTTCTTTACTTTTTTAATGTGCATAAAACTGATAATAAAAGGCAGTGTCTTTAACTATACTGTTCTTAGCATAGTGTGTTAGAGCACTGATCTGTCAGTTCTACATAATTGCTCCTGTTTCTGTGGGAGGGACACTGATAGCAATGTTGATCACAAATCAAATTGATTGCTGTGAAAATATTCTGAACACTAAAATTCGAAAATCAGTCATGTTAATAGACACCTTGTAGACTTTTGTAATGGATTTTTCCACCCATTGGCAGGCTAATATTAATGATTTTCTCAATACTGTCTAGTTAAGAGGAAGGTGAGTGTTTACCAGATGTCTGTATTTCCCAAAATAATATTTTGCACAGCTCTGCCAGGCTTTGTGTGTTAGAAGTGAATAACTAAGTTATTTTAAAATCTAGAGAAAGGCATTGCAGTGCACTTGTTTATTACCAGCCGATTTGCTGGAAATTCTGCCTGGAGAGTGCTTATGTTGATTACCAAGGATTTTAGATGGGATCCCAGTGTAAGTGAGGATATAGTTAAGTCAAGAAGTGTGTTATGCATCCTAGCAACATAAAAAGCATCACTCTCTGACATAATAACTATTAAGATTCTTTAAAATGCTATTTCTGATGGGAAAAAAAAAAGAAGAAAAAAGGGAAAAAAACCCCACTATCCCATTTGCCTAACTCACTGGGAGAAAACTGCTGAAATACTGTGTATCATTACAGTGATATGATCAATTTTATGGGCATAAATCTGTGCTGTCACTCCCAGAGCAGTCCTGGCTTCTCTCTTTGGCCCATGAGACTTGTGGCATCAGTTCTCTTTGTGTTGCTACATGGTGATCAAGACCAGGTGACTGCTCCAAGAGAGAAGTGAGCAAAATAAAATATTGATTTACAGCTCTACCAATCCCATATCTGGTTCACTGTGCACCTGGAGTGTACCACTAGACTTCTGGCAAAAGGGAAGGGCTAAAGGGAGATTGAGTCTGCTCATTTGGAGGAATCAAACATGTTGGATTGGTCATGAATGTGCAGTGTTTGCTTTCCAAGTTTTTTCTCAACCCCAGCTAATGGTCATGTGTCACTTAATACAAACCAATGTACTGACTTAATGAGCTTCAGTCACTTAGTCTGGCCACCTTGGTAGTACGTGGCACATGACTAGTCCTAAGTAGGTATTCAAAAAAGATTTTCACTGAAAATCACTAATGAAATGGAAGAGCAAACCAGTATGTAGGAAATGCATATTTGCATTCTGTACCTGGGGATATAGTAAGAAATGTTTGATGAATTCTATGATTGGCTTCCCGGATGTGCACCTCTCCTGTTGAAAATGGTGCTTTTTTACTCAACAGATCTATTGCCATGGCATATTTAGAGTATGAACTGTGAAAAGCTTTTTTTCTTCCTTTTCCTCCCTTCTTTTTGCTCATTAGTTCTAAAGAGCTAGCAAAACTGTGAAAAAGCTATGTTCTACTTTTTTTTGTACCTGATTGCCTATTTTCTGGGTGCTCACACCTTTATGGCCCTACTGGAGGTAATTAGGTTATTCGTAGAGTTATCAAGTATGTGCTTTGTACTTCTGATTTTTTATTTTTAGAAGCAGACATGTTCTGTGTGTGGATGCCTAATTTTTTTTAGAGCCACAGAACAGTTGTGGGATTGGTGGTCAATCTTATACCATATTCTAACATATAGGCATACATGTATGGCATGTCTGGAACCTCATACCTTTTCACTTGTGGCATACCTCCCTCTCAGGACAGCAGTTTAGCGACCATCTCACAGCTTTTGCTGGTGCTATAGAGGAAAGGAAGGTGCCTGGAAGTGAGAAAGCTGTGAGGTGCTTGTTTTCCAAGGGCCAGTGTCTGCTGCAGAAGGCAGATCTCTTTTGGCTCACAGTATGTGCTGTACAGTAATTATGTGGAACTACCCTCATGTCCAGAGCAGTAATTAATGTTATTAATTTTTTGTTATTCTACAGTTCTCTTTCACTTTGCAGCATTGACAGCAGCTGTGCTGCTCTCCCTTCTAAGGCTACACCTTATATATTTTCATGGACCATCTGTTTTACTTACTAATTTAAAGCCATTTAATGTACTGTGTTTGCACTCACTGTGCATTTCATACTGGAGTCTCATGCTGCTCTTTGGTTATGGAGTGATGCTTTGTTTGATTGCCAACCTAGAGGGGAAGAAATTAGAAATGGAAAAAAATGAGTCCAGAAATGACTACCATGCCCACCTTGAAAGCTATAGTGCTATACTCTGATAAGCAAATTAGTTTCAACAAAATATTTGCTTTAGATAGCTGTTTGGTCATATCTCATGTCTTGGTTTCTTTTAGTGTGAAGAACTGGCTTTAGAAAGTACATTGTTTTTCAACTGGAAGCGCAATAGCTTGTCTTCCACTCTACCACTAAGTACCTCTCTTGTGTTATCTGAGAGGTATTGGAGTTGATATTTGGATTATACTAATGGTCATTTTGAGCTTTGTTTGGTTGACTGTTTTTGTTAATCTCATTCCTTGTAGTTTTTCATAAGTGATGTGTATTTCAGCATCATGAGCAAGATTTTTATCTGTTAGCTACCTATGCAGATTGTGGTGGTTCTTGTTTGCTGGACTTGTCTTTGTCCCTGGCAAGGGAAGTAATGTAACCACATTTATACTGAGTTAAACTGACTGCTAGTTTAGTTGGTTGGTTGTTCTTATCCGCCATTTACAAACTGATACCTGCGGTTAAGGCTGGGATACGTATTCACACGATAGGCACCTGTTCAAAGTTACGAAATTGATGGCAAAAAGCTGCTTTTTCTTCACACCTTTGTGTTAATCCCTAGATATTTTCTTTTTTAATCCATCCATTTCATTGATAGTGCTGCACCACAGAAGATTGCGTAGCAAAGTAGTGTCTCCCATCTCTTCTATTGGTAAATTTCCCTTCACAAGGTACTCTGGATGTCTTGCACTTCTGTTAGTCCAGAGAAGCTTCTCTTTCCTTGGAGTTCGTTGATCAGCACTGCCAGCTTCTTTAGAGGGGGGATGTGAAGTGCTTTCAGCATGTTTTTACTCAAAGTTGATTACTCTCTTCCCCCCCTTACCTTTTCTAAGCTTTTGCTTGCACTTTCTACTGCTAGTGTCTTGAGGGCACTACTTATTGGTGTCACCTGGTTCTTGTGTTTTATTGAAATCTTGTGCTGAGAATGAGGTTGGGATCATAGAAGATTCTTTGAAGTGCCAATCAAAAGCAAAGATAAATGTTTACACAAGGGAACAACAAAAGTTATATGTATTAAATAACAGACAATAGAAAATTAAATGTAACTTTTAAAATTCATTTGTTGGTATGCAGAAGCTAGCAATAGTCTTGGGATAATGTCTCTTGCCTTGAATTCTTTTTCAGAGAACATTCATCCTGGTGTGTGTATTTTTTTTCTGTCTGACTAGTAAATATTTGAATAAAAGTGAAGAAAACATGACTCAAGCTTCTAAAATCAGCAGGAAGTATGAAGAGCTCCTTACACAGCTTTCTGGATTCTTGGACACAGACATCAGAGAAAAAGAGAAACCACAAGAACATTTAATGTCAAAGGTGATTGGCAGGGGTTGTGTAGGCAGGGGTTTCTCTATAGCGATTTAACGGAAAAATATTTTATTATCATAGAAATAAAGCAAGTGATGAAGATGAAGATCTTTGTGTTTTATAATAGTTTGCAGACAGTGCTGTCATTTAAGACAGATTTTTTTTTTCATATTGGGCTAATTTTCAAAGGTGCTGAACACTAATAGACCTCAGTGAACTCAATCTGCTCTTATCTGCATAAATATTTTATCACCCGAGTTCCCGAGTACAGCCCTGATTAGATACTTGGTTGAAAGCTTTCCTGAAAACATTAACACTGGGAGTCACTAGGTGATGTGTAAACACATGGCACTAGATCTTTACACTTATCTCGGGCTGACATACCATTAAATAGAAACATCTGAAATGGCATACTCTAAAGCAATGCTAACTGTGCCCTGTAATAAAATGCTGTAAATAACTTTGTGGTGTTTTTGAGACTTAATCATAAACCACTACTATTTCTCTTCAGAATACTTCTGAAGTTCCAAAAAGTAAGCTTCCATTTAGGAAAGGAAAATTGTTTGGATATTCTTTTAACCTCTGTCAATGCTGTTGAAAGACATTTTAGTCTAATTTTATGCATTTTACTTGTCTTCTGTCTAGTCTTTGATATCCCTATTTTTCTTTGGAGCACATGAGGTATTTGGGGAAATTCTGTTTCATTATGTTCACATTATTGTAAGAATTCTGTCTTAATAAATTAAGATTATCTAGGTATGTATCACAGTGATTTCTTAAAGTACTTGCCCTCATAATATTACATAATATTGCAAGCACATTGAAATTGTAATAGGCGCTCTAATAAAATTTGGCTAGATGTCATGCAGGAGGCACTCTTTCATACTTTAATAAATTAATGTAATTAGTAATTGGAACTTTAAAAAAATCTATATTGATGTCTTTTAACAATGTAGTAATAAATGTAGTTGGGAAATCTAATTGTCCTGAAAACTCTGTGCATTAGGAAACCTTAGCAACTCATTTTTCTTGGGTCTTGGCACATCTGTTTAGCTTCTTTTCCATGTTATGGTTTTATTTAACACAGAATTGATCTGTTATGGTCTTAACAAATGTCTTGCCAATAGGAATCAGGGTACCTTTTTTACTCACTCTTTGAAGTGCCCACATTCATCAATTCCAGTTATTGGAAACAGCATAACGTACCAAAACAGCCCTAGAATACTTCTGGAAAGGACTCCTTTTTCCAAGGTGTTGGCGGCTCATAATGGCAGCACACCATGTATTTGCCCCTGCCCTTGAATTACTTATGAAATATCTGCTACTAACTCAAACCTCCTTTGCCTAAAAAGTTTTGAGCATAACTTGCAGCTTTCTTGTTCCAGATGAACGGCACACATCTTAAAAAGCCAGGCTGAAATTGTCTGCTTTTCACATGAAGCAGTTACATGATCTTTTTTCTGACCTTCATGTCAAGCACGGATATGCAGCAGCAGTAGCTCTCCACCTGCTTAATAGATCATAAAGTTTGTGTTGGAGTAAATCTGACCCACTTTATACTAAGGTGGGGGTTTATGGTGAAAATATGATTCTATGATTTTAATTGTCTTTCTACTCTTTTATAAATGAATAGCAGAGTGCTGTTATAAATCTGACATAGGGGTCACCAGGAATACCCTTTCTTTATTGGGATGATTAGGAGCAGGTATACTGGGATGAATATATGTAATTTTTAAGTGCTTTTAAAAAGCTACTAATACTTGAATTATTTCTCAAGGTCTCTGAAATATGTAAAGAAAATCTGACACTAAAAGACCAGGTTGCTGCTCTTCAAGAAGCTGTTAATGTCCATGAGATGGAGTCTAAAGCTAGCAGAGAAACTATCATGAGGCTAGTTTCAGAAGTGACAAAGGAGCAAAAAAAGGTGGCAGGATACTATCAAGACATGGAAAAACTTAGTAAGGTACATAATTGCATTACTTGTATGTTTGTCTAGTTTTCAAATGTTTTCTTGACATTTCAAATTAATTTTCAATAGGAATTGTATGAGAAAAAATGCTTCTGAAAAACTTAGGTTAATTAGGGTCTTTTCTAAAAAAGGCATTTTTCTGAGGTTATTCTCAACTGTTTGAAAGTTTCAGAATATATAGAGATGAAACAAAAACATTTTGTAAAATAGATTTGATGTCTTCCAATGCTGTTTTCAGATTTCTACTTTTACTTTCTTGGTATTGTTGTAGCTTTTGTTGTGCTAACACAAACGTGTAAATAAACAAATGTGTATAGAGTTAATGAGTATATCTGAGGCACAAGCATGCAACAATGAAAAAATGCTCTTTTAAATAACATTTATATGATACTGCAAGTTTTCTGAGATTTCTTTTACTCAGTTTCTTCAAGAATTCTAATGAGGAATTGAAAGGAATTGATATTCTTTCTCTTAAGGAAGTGGAAGGTAAAGTGTCTTGGCTTCCAGACATCCTAGATTATCTTTTCACTGCATTATAAATTTGTATTTCATAACTGTTTGCTCATACCCAAAAAGTTGTAGGATGGCTCTTGCAGGAAAGCACTGTTTTACTCTCAGGGAGCCATAGAGGAAATCTCTGCAGCAGGAAAGATGCTCAAATGAGAAATGTAAGTTAAGTTGTAAGTTAAGTATTCACCAAATTCACCTGGCTATGATTTGGAAAGGAAAAGTACGTGATTTAAAGATTTAATTGCTCCAGGAGAACTTGCCATTAAGAGTTTGTGCATCTCAAATGATGGACAAATAAAGAACATTTCTGTAGCAGTTTTCCTCATTGCTTTGTACTTTGAGTGGTAACTGTGGAAAGGAAGCAGCCCATAATGAAAATTTCCCACAGGTGGAACAGTGTGGTTAAAGCTGATGGCCAGAACTTAAGAAAATAAGGGAAGAAATTTAGACTGCCAGATATGTAGCTGAGTTGTGTGCGATTGAGTTTGAAGAAATTTTAAGCATAAAGGCAACCTTGTGCAAGTGAGTTTTCAAATGTAATACAACATTCTCCCCACCCCCATCATTCTTTTTTTTTCTGAACAAAAGACCGCCACCGTACACTTTAAAGGATATAGTGTTCTGATTTGGTTGTAAGCAAAATATTTAGGAGATGAGAAATAGCTGGCGGTGTACTCTGGAGAAGAAAGAATTTGTTGTGGGGAAGATAAATGTTAAGTACCACAAGGGTCATAAATTTTACTTACTGCTGAAAGTAGTTCTTACCAAGCTGTGTTAAATTTTCTAAGACTCAGTGGAACTGAGGGAGAACCTGCGCAAAAACTTAAGCAGGTCCTTTTCGAGAACATTTTGTTCTCATACTTCATTTCAAACACAGGTGTGTGAGGAAGAACAGAGTGTAGTTTACTCACTAAGTAAACCAGAATCAGGAGATGTTTTAAACCAAGATTAGGGCTTCCTTTGTGACTTGTTTTGCAAGTTTGCTCTGACTGCCAAAGCATTTACTAAGTTGAGCTAGTTTTACAAAAAATATTTTCATATCATTATTGTGCATATGCCAAATACATAATTTATTTAAGCAACTTTACAGAAATGTCTTTCTAAATTATTAGCATTGCCTTTCAAATGAAGTGTATGCCATCGGGGCTTATCTAGAAGCTGAAGATTCCTCCAGTGCTTTTTCAGTTTAGCTACTTAGTTTAGCAGACACTGAGTAAATCTGTTTGTGTCTGAAGGTTTTGTGTTCACAAAAGCATAGTAAGAAATTCAGTATTGAAAAGGTAAGTAAAAAAACCAAAAAATGCTTTAAATCCTCACATGTAAAGTGTGATGTATGGGATCCCATGTTGCGTGGATGAGTGTCTTAGTAGGTTACAGGGAGGGCACTAGCAGCATAAGCTCAGTTGGACTTTATACTTTGCTGCACAGGTATAGCACATGAACAGAGTTGCACATGTTGTAAAATGTTCCCCTGTAAAGGCGAAAAGCAGAAATCCATACTGTTCCTGTGCCAGAAGATTCATGCTCAGCTGTGCGTTTCTGGGCTGTTTTCTGAACTTAATTAATGGAAATGCCTGTAGCTGAGTTTACGCAGCAGAGGTTGAATACAAGTATGCCTGTGTGTGCCTGAAGCTCTCAGGACCAGACATTTTGGCCATCTTCAGTGAGATGGCAGCCCATTTCTGCCAGTTTTCTCTTAAAATGTTTTCTAAGCATATAGAGACCATCACACTCCTCTGTCAGTCATCTCCAGCAAGTGTCAGACACTGCATTGCTCCCTACCACTTCTCTGAATAATTGCCAGTTTTAATTGCCAAGTAGCTTTCCACTCCTGCTCCTTATGATTTCTGTGAACTCCTTCTCTTGACCAGGTGCTTTTCTTTATGTCCTGGAAGGAGGTAGCTGTCTATATTCCAAAATTCTTAATGAAGAAAATGAAAGCCAGTTGGTTATGTTTTAAGGTTAATACATTCAGAATGTTCTTAACATGTTTGATACGTATTTGTTGTAGTTATTTGGGTTTAATTCAAGAAACATTAGCAAGTGAACAATAATTTTATCTGTTCCTCTCTGTCTTACTGTATGACAATAGCAAGCAGCAAAGAATAAAAACCAATACAGTCTTGAAACTGTATATAAGTAAAATATGTGAGTAAAAAAAAGCAAGTCAAGAAGCTATTTTTGTTGTAATGTATTACCGTTCTTTTAGAATTCTGAACTTCTCACATTTCTGACAGACTAATGCAAGAGTTTGCTCCTAGAAGTCTGTAAATATTGTGCATACCGTTATTGTGGCTGTGCTGGATATCAAATTTGCATTTGATGAGAAATGACTTGTAAATGCTCCCTAGATTTCTAGAATGAGAGTACCTGTTCTTTCTTTCTGTATGTCCAGACAGTGGTTATTGATTATGCTAATCATAATTACAGAATTATAACACTATTTGAGAGTGTCTGTAGGTCCTTTAAAATGTCTTATTAGTTCTAACAAAGTTTCTTTCTAATATTTAGTAAACTCCTTTGTGGTATTTATCTAAGGTATAGAAAAGGATGCATATATTCTTCCAGATTATAATTTGCCCTTCATACAGCATTGCCATTGATGAACCACAAAAACTAATAGATTATCTTGTTTTATTTCACGTATTTGCTGATGATTCAACCTGGAAATACTTGTGATTTCACTCCGAAGTGCTGTTTTAAACATCTGTTTTGTAAAGATGTGCATCATGCAAAATCTTTAAAGAACATACTTGAAATATAATCAAGCAATTTTAATTAATACAAATATTCTGATGCAAAAATTAACCAAGAAAATACTCTTCAGTATTCAATATTGTCTTGTATTGTTATGTTAGTGAATAAAATTTACCTAAGTAGTTTGTAATCAATGTGCATTTATTAAAATAAACTGACTGTATGAAACCAGCTAATTAAAATATAAAAATATTATTTAAGGAAATTGATTAAACTTGAGAAACATGGCTACCTAAAATAGCCATTTAAATATACCCAAATACTTAGATTACAGGAGAGACAAGCACATGATTTTAGGTTTTTCTTGTCTCAACAAATAAAAGAATGAGTTTCTCAGAACCTGGATTTTTTTTTTCTTTTTCGTTTATATGATGTCATTAAGAAAATACATGTTTGAGACAGGTTTCAGCAGGCATAACAGATATTTTCAGGTTGAATCATCAGAGAAGATGAGAGCAAGCTAGTTTACAATCCTTATGGTATAACAGTGGTAACGAGATGCAGGTGGTGTAAGAATTTGTCTAGAAAATACCTGCATTCTCTTTTGTACCTTCTTATTACTGTTAATGTAATGTGGGTTCTTTATATGTATGTGTAGTTGACTTAGTGTATTGAAACCCTGATGCTGATTGACGTGACGGTATTAATAGAACCGTAGAATTATTTAGGTTGGAAAAGACCTTTAAGATTATTGAGTCCAACTGTTAACCCAGCACTGCCAAGTTCACCATTAACCATGTCCCTCAGTGCCACATCCACAAGTCTTTCAAATACCTCCAGGGATGTGGACTCCACCTCTTCCCTGGGCAGCCTGTTCCAGTGCTTGACAACCCTTTTAGTAAAGAAATTTTTCCTAATATCCAATCTAAACCTCCCCTGATGCACTATAGGACTGCCATTTCCTCTTGTCCTATTGCTTGTTAGTTGGAAGAAGAGGCCAAACCCCATCTGGTTACAACCTCTTCAGGCAGTTGTAGGGAGCAATAAGGTCTCCCTTGAGCCTCCTTTTCTCCAGACTAAGCAACCCCAGCTCCCTCAGATGCTCCTCACAAGACTTGTGCTCCGGTTCCTTCACCAGCTCCATTGCCCTTCTCTGGACATGCTCCAGCACCTCAATGTCTTTCTTGCAGTGAGGGGCCCAGAACTGGATGCAGGATTCGAAGTGTGGCCTCACCAATGCTGAGTACAGGGGGAGAATCACTTCTATAGTCTTGCTGGCTGCACTATTTCTGATACAGGCCAGAATGCCACTGGCCACCTGGGCACCTGCTGGCTCATGTTCAGTGAGCACACCCAGGTCCTTTTCTGCTGGGAAGCTTTCCGGCCAGTGTTTGGTGGCTTGCACTTCCTTATTTTATGCCTTGATCTTTTGATTTGATTGTGTTTGTTTTCAGATGTTCACAATTTAAACAAGATTGTAATTAGATAAGATCCCTGGTACTGGCAAACTAATTTAGCACTGCCTTTCTGGAAGGAAAAATATGCACTGCTGAAAACTGTAATTGAAATAAATTACTCTTTATTCTTTGCTGTAATTACCATAATGTAATTCTGAGCACAGGTGGGAATTTCCTATTAATAGGACTTGTTTAGAATAAAAAAGAGAAAATGGCAAGGAATCATGCCAACATGTTTCTAAAGCGGTTCTACAATTACTTTAGTATTTAGTACAATTACTATAGTAACAAATAATGTCCTAAATGACAAGGTTTGTTTTTGTTTGTGTTTTTGCATGTTTCCCATTTTGAAACTATTAAAAATTTAATTATTTTTAGAATCGTATGTTTATATTTTATTTTCTAAGGGTGCTCTGCAAACTTCCCTTTTGTCCATCCTCCCTGCTGATCTATGTAAATGCTCCCAGATCTACTCCTCGATTGGCACGTATTCTATTGATACAAATGACTACAGCAAGCACACATAGACCCTGAGAGACTCTTGAGTACTCACCATATTCATAACTGCTACAGAAACAATTCTTTAATTCCAGTGTACACAATCTTATATCAGTCCACTTACTGAGCCTCTACTAACCACTGAGACTTCCAGAGGAATTCAATCACTCTCTGTAAATATGCCATCCTCTGTCATAATTTTGTGTCTTGGGTGAAGTAATATTCTTTCCTTTTGTGTCATGTGTGAAGTAATATTCTTTCCCATTTGTTCTTTTCAATCAGATAATGCCTTGAGAAATGAAGACTTAGTCTTTGCTATACTTTTAGTTGGTTTCACTGGAAATATTTTTCTTGTATATGAATATGTAAGCACTCTTAATATTGGTATTGTGGGGAAAGGGATTCACAAGGTGACTGAGAGAGATTATTTTCTCTTTATGTTTAGATGGTTATTTTTCTTTAATTTTTCTATTGTCATTTGTTTTGGCATCCTGGGTCAGGATACACAATTCTGTCTGTCTGCTTTGCCCTGTTAGGTCAATATTTTGTATATAACTGATATAGATATGTATGTACTGGCTATATTTCATTGTTTCCCAACCAAGCCTTTGTTTGGTCCTTCACTTCCCTTTTCTGTGTATAGATAATCTCAGGAATTTTTGTCACATTAAGTAAGCTGATCTCAGAGATCACCTCTTATCACTATTTTCAGACAGATTGTGTCTATTGTTTTGGTCAACTCTGAATTGCTCAGGTGGCTGGAGTTGATCACCACTGCGGATCCCTTCCAACTGAAATATGCTATGCTGTGCTATGCTATGCTATCCTATCCTATCCTTTCCTATCTGAGTTGTGGTACTTTGGCTTTATTAGTGTTACGTCTTGTTCACTGTTTTTCAGGTCATATTATCTGAATGGAAAAATAAGATACCAACAGTTTTACAATTAAAAAATGTATTTTTAAACCTGCAAATTTTATGCATGTATTCCTTCCTGCAGGCCACTGCCAGAGGTTAATCTATAGAGTGATTACTGCAGACTTTGGCCTTTCATCAATTTCAATAGCAGTTCTCCTATGAAACCCTGATGTTGAATCCATATGAGCATTATGGGTCCTAGTTTCTCTGTCTGCAGTACCTGCTTCTGAGTTATTCCTTCATATGTGTATAGTGGGGAGGGATTATAACTGATTTTAAAAATCCTGTTTAATTTTTCATGCATTTTAGGATCTTGACAGCACTATAATAGAGAGACAGAGTTTAGAGATGGAGATCAGAAACCTCCAAGATAAACTGGCTGTTAACCAGAAAGCCTTGGACACCTCAAAGAGGGAACTGCACAGTCTGAAGAAATCTTCCAGCGAGTTAGATGGAGGCTTGAAGAGCAGCAGAGCAGAAGCCAGGACTGCTTGGAGCTCTTTAGAGGCTTTTAAAGAACAAATTGCTACCCTACTCAGCAGTGGATCTGCAATAGTTGAACCGTCCGAGAAGGCCATTTTGGAGAGGATTCGAGAAATAAATTGTAAAGAGGAGAGTAAACAAATAGTAAGTCAGCAACTACTGCACTTGCCCAACGTGTGTATTTATTCTCTTTGGATCCTGTTTCATGTTATTCTTCTGGTAGAGTTTTGGTTCCTTCTGCTTAGGTTTTGAAATTACAGAAACCTTTAATTTTGTTTTCAATTGATTTGAGGTAATAGGTGAAAAGCATCTTCTTTTTATTAAGTAGGAAGAGTTCAGAAATTAAATTAATAATAGATGCTGTTAGGAAGAAAACAGTTGGAATGGTCTTTCAGTTAAAATATTGAAATTTGGTTTCAGTGCCAGCAGACATCAAAAGTGGCTGTGTGGTCGTGAATAAGCATGGAGGCATGGATTTGCTGCTACAATAGTGACTTCTTTCTCAAAGCAGATAAAATTGATGAGTTGTCCCAGGCAACTTTTTTCCCTATAATCCTCAAAACCTGCACCTAAAAATAAAGAAGTATTTTTACACTTATAGTTAAATATTGTTCACCATACAAGAGAAGGGTAATAGGAAGGCGGCTGGCTCTGGCTTGAGGCGTTTTGGCCCGTAGTGTTTGCAAAGCTGTGTTTGAATGTACAGGTAGAGAAGGGACAGCTCAGGAGGAAGGTGAGTCAGAATGCAGTCTGACCAATATCAGTATCCTGACACTGCACTGAGGTTTCTCGCTTGTTTGCTTACATGGGCATTTATTAATTTTGTCAGTGAAGACTATTATATAATTAAAAGTCACACTTTAAATCAAAAGGTATTTGGTAGCTGGGCTACACCCAGGGCTGCTCTGCAGGGGCTCTGGGTTCTCTAACAGCAGCACATCTCTGGGGGAAAAAGTTACTGAAACTGGTTTTTTTCTGTTGAGTGATTTTTGATGCAAAAAGCATAAAATATGTGTGTGGGTTCTTGCAGTTTTATTATTGTTTAGTTTTTTCTACTGCTGTATGAACAGCACTAATTTCTCAGTGTTTTTTTGGCAAGTTGGGTGCAAACCGTTGTTTGTATTTAATTGCAGTTTGAAACCTTTCAGTGCCAACAAAATTAATGGGAGCTTTGTGTGCCTATTGTTCATTTTATTAGCAAGAACCAACCAGATGCTTAAAATGAAGAGGCTGCTTGGAGATGAGTGTCTGAACACTGAGTTAAAAATGCAATATAATTTATTATGTAACCAAATAATTTATATGACAGCTGGAGGGAAGCAAGCAACTTTTGGGATAGAACTGCCTTTCAGTATTTGGCAGTAGTGTAACCAGATGCTTTCAAGCATCTAATTTATAAGGAGTTTACAACTTAAAATCCATTACATTATATGTAGGTGTTGTAAACAGTGTACAGCTAGAAATATTTTCAAGATTGTTAGTCTAGTTGCTTGTTATGAGATTTTATCCTTTTATCCTTGAGCTCTGGCTAGATTACAGAAATTATTATTACTATCATTTTTTTAGCAAAATCTTCTAGTTAAACACTCTTTTACAGTTAACAATTGGGAAACACTCCTGAGGCTTAGTTATCCATATCTACATTCTCCCCTACGTGCTGCATGTATTTTCTAAATCACTTATCTGTTTTTTCTACTCAGCTCCTTAGTAGACTAGTGATTTTATTGGCTTGTTTTAAAGAATGATAGCTGACTACCAGGTATTGCTGCTGTGCTCACATCTTTGGAAATTTTGTCTCTAATTAGTTTTTGTTGATTTTTTTAATAGCAGTTCCTTTTAGTCATTTGACTCATATATGGTTTCTGCTGTTCACTTTTGTATGTCTCACATGTCACCGCTTCTGCTGTTTTCTCTTGGTAGTTACAACAGATTTTTCTCTTTTTGTCTTTGTAAATGCATACATTTAAAGATAAATATTTTACCATATTTTTAGTAATTTGATGGTGCATCTTTCATATCTTTCTAGCATTTCTGCACCCACCTAACTCCATATGTTTTGTTCATTTGCTTGCTACCTAGATGGTATCTCAACTTGAAACCCAAATAGCTAAATTGACTGAAGCTTTGGAAAATCAGACCAGATTGTACCACGAAGCTCTGGAGAGGAGCAGGAAAGCTGAAAAATGTTCTGAGAGTTTCCAGGATCAACTGAAACACTTGGAAGAAGAATTACTGGCTGTAGATCTGATGCAGGATGGTTTGAAGCTTGAGAAACAAAAAGTAGTTGCACATGTTATTTAATTTTGAATAATAGTCACTAAGGACAGATACAGCTGATTGTATTGCATTGGTCATCTGAAGCATTACTCACAACACTCCAAATAATGCAAATTAGCAAAATCAGACATCACGTAGAGGGTAGTAATATCTTTTCTTTGACCAACAATCGCAGTTGGAAAAAGCTAAGCTGTTGAGTTCCAAGTCCGTTACTGTGGAAAAAAACCACCACCCCAAAAGCAGCTTAAAAGAAGTCTCTGTAAATACATCGGAAGTCTTTCTATGATTCTCTGATTTCAACGCATTCTCTGATCTCTGTGTCTTTCTGTAGTATATCATCCAGTCTACAATCTCTCAAGATCTTGCAGTCTTTGTTTCTTTTATGTTCTTGGACAATCGTGGCTACCAGGATTTTTTCATTAATTGGATGAATGAACACACTGTTAATCTATAATACATTCACATACTAAGAGTTTGAAAAATGACGTAGTACCCAGAAAGCCAAACCATCCATCCAATACAGCTAAGAAAGGCAAAGTTATAGCATGTTGCTAGGCCAAGATCAGTGATTAGAAAGTTGGATTTACAAAGAATCAACAATTTGGTGCTATTTGTTTTGCCTTAGGCTATAATACAGTAACTTTTATGAATGAAACTGCCTCCACACTGGGAGAAAACCAGACAAAGGATCTGTTTCTTCCTCTCTACATCCTCTGTTAAGAACATTTGGCCCTAGATTCTAAAATTTGCCTCTAGATTTTGCTGCAATAAAGAGACTCTTGTTGTGATTTTTTTCCTGTTAATGCACAACTTCAGTGTTTTCTTCTGCTGCTGATGTTTTTAATTTTTTGAACCAGAAGGATCACAAAACCAAAGGATATTCTTGCTAATGAACTAGTAATGAAACTGGTTTGTTGGTGGGGGTTTTTTTGTTTTGTTTTGTTGGTTCTTTGCAAAGATTATGGTCTGCAAAAGAAGTAAGAGAAAACAAAGGGAATCATAGTTCTTAGTCAGAAGGCGGGCTCTGGATTTTGCAAGAGAGGCTAATTGAGAGCAGGGAACTAATGCAATTTTTAAAGAGCTAGCAGAGCAGAATAAAGAAGGAAAAAACAGATTGAATAATATTTCGTATCTGTATGTGTTCATCACCAGATGGAGATGCAATTAAAATAATCATAAAAGCAATTTTTATACCAGCAGCTGTTATTTCTAAACCTTGCTCTTCCAAAGAACAGCTAAAGACAGACCATGTTAATATTCCTATGTCTTCTCAGACTACATTGGATCGCATCACTGGTATCATTTATATCTGTTTTAAAGGTCACAGTACTGGGCAATCACAGCACTTGCAGTTATTAGTTAGGATGTAGCTGTCCTTTCTAACTTCTTCCTGCCCATGCCTATCCATGTAAAGCAACAGAGCTCCAGACAGGAACTGGAGTCAGCAGAGACATACCTAACGCTGCAGAGAAGCAAAAATGAATCTTGTCTTACTAAGAAGATAAATACAGTAGGTCTAGGGATTTATGAACAAAATAAATGTTGGCTAAATAAGTACATATGGAGAATTTGCAGTTGTGTCAGGAGTGTGTACTGTAAACATAGCCTTTATTATTTCTTTCGGATCGTGTACTTGGCTATGTATTTGTTGACTGCCGGTGTAGGGGGGATTGCTTTTAAATTGTACTTCAAGACATTTAATGAGGTTTTATTATTATTTTACCCACTTTTCCACACCTTATCTTAGTATCTGAAATTTCTGGAGCAACTGAATGAGAAGATGAAGCTGGATAGTCTAGCAGCAGAGTTTGGATTTGATATGAATATGGATGCGATTCTAGCCCGGGTAGAGCAGTTAGTGAATCTGGAAGGTGATGCAGTGATTGAAAACAAGACTGTGGCACACAGCCTCAGAAGGAAGGTATGCAAAAAAGACATACCATTACTATTTGTTTCAAAGATAAACATTACTATGGCTATATTTCTATAGTGGTTTGCTAGAAGCAGCAGATGGTATATGTACAAGGAAGTTCAAAGATGTCCATTTCATAAAAAGAAGATAGCAAACGTTTTCAAACTGTGCAAACAGACTGCATGTTAAAACAACTAAACCTACCAGTGGGTTGAACACATGATATGTGTTTGTGTCTACTTTTTAATAGACATTTATAACATTCTTCTGTAAACAACTACCATCAATATTTAAATCTGAAAGGATCTGCTGGGGAGGGGGATATATAATACAAACTTCTCTAGAAGCTAGCATGGTATTGGTTGTACTTCACCAAGAATTTCAATGTTTTCAACAAGAACTGTTCCTTCATTCAATATTTCCTTCAGGAACAAATCCAAATTTGTTCAAATTTGGTCAAACATCCCTCCATCATCGTGTTATAACACAGTGAAATCTTTAGGGTTTAGGCTTATCAGACTGGAGCTGCGAATTGGAGTCTGTTTAAGGTTTAAAACAATACTGTATTTCTTTTTTTTTTTTGTGAAGCAGCTGCCTCTCTAGCAGGGAGTATATGTATGTCGATACCCCTCAGATGTTCCAGAGTAAAGCCTGGCAGCTCAGTTCAGATAAACTGAAAACAAGTAGCTCCTTCAGCAGCAAAACTAGAAAACTAAGCTGCTGGACCTGGCATTGGAGCAGTGGATGAAAGATTCCTTATTTCTGTATGTTGTATCTCCTTCTGGAACACCTTAACTACCACCACTGAAACCACTGTCTCCTAAATGAATTTCTCTTGCATCTTGCATTTGACTGGTGTCTTGTACTTCAGGCAATCTCAGATGTTATGAGTGATGCACAAGTATTTATGTTCAAATAGGATGAAGTCTAAAAGGCAGTGCACAAATTCAGGGATGGAGAAGCACAATGAATTGGTAATATAAGGAGTATCAAGTTAGTGTATATATGTTGATACTTCTTTACACAGTTTTCAAGAGGAAAAGGAGTTCAGGTTATACGTGCAACACAGGGATTAAATTTGCAAAACAATCTGTGTAGTACCACTGTCATTCACATATATTTTTTCAAATATCCTTGTGTTTGGAAAACAAGTTGAAGACTCAGAAGGAAAAACTTGAAAGCAAAGAGCTTCACGTGAACCTTCTGCGGCAGAAAGTAACCCAACTGGAAGAAGAGAAGCAAATCAGGACTGCCTTAGCTGTGGAAAGGGATGAGGCCAATCTTGCTGTCAGAAAGTTACATAAGATGATAGAGAGGTTACAGAAGCAGCTTGATGTGGCAAGGGAAATGAATACTGATCTCAAAGCCAAGCTGTCTGAAACCAATGAACTTAAGGTGAGTTAAAAGGTTACGTTTGTGCTTCTTGCCATTTTTCTATTCCAGTTGTATACAGCTGGAGTTCATTTATAAATGTGTTCTTAGAGAACTGCTCAAATCTATCTAGGAGGCAAAAGCAAATATAATATTAAAATGTTTTGGTATATTTTGCAATTTTTATTGATATGCTAAGAAGTGTCTGTAAAGCACAATGTAAATTTTCAGAGTTGGTATGGCCAGTCTTCGCGAACGAAGATTTTGGGAAAGGTCTTTTACCTTTCGAGCCTGCGCAATGGATTTTTTACGTGAGACACAGCATGCGCTGAACTGAGCCCACCCTTTAATCCTCAGGTTCATCTGCCGGGGCCAAGTGAGCTTGGACAATGGCAGTGAGGTCCTCAGGACGTAGGTTTGTTTAGAGTGACCTTCTCATAGATGGATGGCCTCACAGGGCTGACGAGCTCCATCTGCCCGGGGGAGTATCCCTGACCGGGAATCGAACCCGGGCCGCGGCGGTGAGAGCGCCGCATCCTAACCACTAGTAGTGTAAGAAAATACGATATATGCATCCTTTTCTTTCCTGTTGATGTGGCTGTAATCTTCTCTTTTCCCATACATTACACGGAGAAGATCTATTCATATAGATATAGGGGGAAAATGGCTTTTTTTCTTGCATACAACAGGCAAGATGCAAAATTTTAATTGTTCCTGTGTACATGTGATTTCATCAAGAACCCATAAGAACCCACATTAAAGTGCTTATTTATGATTGCTTATTTGTTCACATTAGATGAAAAAGTTAACACTTCTTTATCTTATTGCAGATCAAAACTTTGGAGCAGAACAGAACAATAGAAGAACTCAATAAGTCTCAAGGCAAATTGGAAAGAATGAAAGAAAAAGCTGAGAAGGAACTTAGATCTGTCAAATCAGAACTTCTTTTAAAGGAACGTAAAGCTACTGAAGATAAAGAAAAAAAACAAAATATATTAGAAGCAGTTACCAGTGAAACGAAGGTGCTTAAAACAACCCTTGCAGAACTAGCAAAAAGAGAGAGACAGGTAGGTGTATAGGTATTTGATAAGTGCTAGCGGTCCCTTAGAATATAAGAATGTGGTATATGTGAAGCAGCTATCCAGCTGTGCTTAAAATTGTTCTGAACATCATTAAACAAGGAAATTTTAGCTCACACTTGTGAGTCAGAGTGACAGTTGTGATTCTGAGAGGCAAAGTTTTGCAATAGAATAATAAATACAGCCAATAAATACTTTGTTCATCACAAAATATTATATAACCTTTTAAAGAGCTAATAAAATGCTTTAAAATCATGGGATCTCTTTTAACGGAAGTCTTTTTCCAGATATCTTAGGCATAAAACTTACTAACTTCTCATCCGTTTCCTTTCATTTCTCATTCATGTCTCTTGGACTTTCTTCTTGCCAATTGTGTGACACTCAGCAAGGCTAAGGGATAGGATGAAAGGAAGCAGCTTCAAGTTGTGCTGAGAAGGTTTAGATTGGATATTAGGAAAAATTTATTGACTGAAAGGGTAGTCAGGCATTGGAATAAGTTGTCCAGGGAAGTGGTTGAGTAACCGATCCTGGAGGTATTTAAAAGATGTGTAGGCATAGTTTAGTGATGGATTTGGCAATGTAGCTTAAATGTTGGACTTGATAATCTTAAAAGTCTTTTCCAACCTAAATGATTCTATGATTCTGCATTACTGTGTATAGGCCATAAATGCAAAGAATGTTGAAAAATACAAGAAAAAACCTCAACCGCACAAAACCCTCCAGACATAATATTGAATGTAACTATTTTGGCTCAATTTATGATATATAACTTAGTTATTTAGGTCAGAATAAGTTTTGTGGTAATTTACCTTGGGGAGGGTGTAAGTAGTTTGTGGCAAACATATTAGTAAATGTGTTCCATTCTAATTTCAAAAAATTGTGAACTATGTATGTTATTGCCCTGCACATTGTGTTTTGTAGCAGTGTTATAGATGGCATAATTGTTGAAAGCTAATGGGATGCTTCTTCAAAGTAAAAAATTTATAATTTTAAATTTCTTGTTTCAACTGCTTAGAATATTAGGTTTTCCAGCTAAAAATTTTATGCCATATGTCAGCCTTAACAGTGACTCTGGATGAAATTTAAGAATGTTATTTAAAAAAATTAGTCTAGAAAAATATTTTTTTATTTACATGGAGAGAAAACCAACAACCTGGGCATGTTTTTTTTGGAAATCTTTAGCATTGTTTTGTTTTATAACAAAGGTTAAAAATTTGGCAGGAAAATTTAATTTCTTCATATATCTCATGAGGAAAAAAGCATCTGGCACACAGAAGAAGATAGGAATTATATTCAGGAAATTATTCCACAGATTCATACACTGAGTATTTGCTAAAAGCACACGAATGTTGAATTGTTACGATCTGAACCCAAGGCAGTTCAAACCACTTGAATACTGTTGCAATATTGTTTGGACATATTTTTTTCTTTTCTTTCTGTTGGAATAAACCCCCTTCTACTTTCCTGTAGCTAGTGTGAAAATAAAATACAGTGTCTGCTTTTTACTTCCCCTGAGCCCTGCCCTGCAGTATCTTGGGTTAATGCTCTAAATTGCATCAATTTCATGGTTTTTTATTTCAGATAATTTTACTCACTGAATGGAAGGTGCAAAGAAAATTTAGCAGGAGTGCTCACTGCTGTAGCATAACTTTGGTTTTGGGTCTTGAGTGATGTTTATCTTTTCTAATTTCTCTCGTTTATTTCAAATTGTGATTATCTTAGGAGTTTTAACTCTTACTGAAGAAAACCTTAAATAGAGAGTTAGGTGGTTCTTCTGTTAGATTCTAGTATTTCAGCAGAGCTGTTGTGTTTTTAATACTTTTGTTGCAGCCAAGAGCAATGCTTCTCTCTGTCAGTTTGTGTGGAAAATTTCTTTGTCATCAACCCTTTTTCTGCATTTTCAATGAACTACAACTTTGCCTGCACTGTACTTTGTATGCCACAATATAATAAAAAAGTCTTTCTGTCTAAAAATTCACATGAATGAATGGCTTACATGCTTTCTTTAAGGGCTCTCTGTGCTTTCCACTTTAGGTTATTAGCTGATGAAAGTCATTGAATTCTTGATGTGTTTATTGTCCATTCAGTGTAGGTATGACCTGCTTTTCCCATCAGAAATAAAGGGTGAGGTGATTGTGCATATGTTTTACTTTTTATCTATTCCCTTTGGCCAAATCCTGCCAGATCAATAATCAGTGTCAGTGCATCAAGTTTGATTTGATTATTACATTTGTTACATGGTTGTAATACAATTTGGTTTACTCACAGTTGCTGTAATTAAGTTGAATAGCTTGCAGCAGCAAAGATATGAGAGCAAGAAATTTAGTGCAAAGTGCAGACTCTAATGTACTCATGGAGGATCAGTTGGGTTTTCTGTATAGATTCTTTCAGGAGTGTACTTAGTCCAAAGGCTGGATCAAACAAATTCCAGCTTTGCTGGCTGCTCATCCTGTCTGTGATCCAGATGTTTAAAAATATCTTTAGCTTCTGTTACATGGTACTTGCTTAGCACACTGCCAGAGCCCAGCATCCGTGACCTCCTGAATTGGTTTTGAAGATAATATATGGGAACTTAAGGGGTTTTGGTGTTAACATTGTTCCAACATTTCATTGAAGACATTGCACTGTCTTGGTAATACAGACAGCTGGGACTGAATTCTCAAATCATAAGATCATAGAATGGTCTGTGTTGGAGGGGACCTTAAAGATCATCTGGTTCTCCCCCACCATGGGCAGTGACACTTTCCACTAGATCAGGTTCCTCAAAGCCCCGTCCAACCTGGCCTGGAACACTCCTAGGGATGGGGCATGCACAACTTCTCTGGGCAACCTGTTCCAGTACCTCACTACCCTCTAAGTAATGAATTTCTTCCTAACATTCCAATCTAAATCTTCCTATTTTAATTTGAAACCATTTCCCCTTTTCCTATCCTATATGCTTGTGTAAATAGTCACTCTCACTCTTTTTTTGTAAGCCCCCTTTAAGTACTGGAAGGCTGCAATGAGGTCTCACTGGACCCTTCTCTTCTCCAGGCTGACCAACCCCAACTCTTCCAGCCTGACTTCATAGCGGAGGTGCTTCAGCCCTCTGATCATCTTTGTGGCCCTCCTCTGGACTCACTCTAACAGGTCCATGTCTGTTTTGTGCTGAGGACTCCAGACACCAGTCCTAGACTGTTGTGGTTTCCTTTTTGTGTTTCTGAACTGATGGCAGCTCCTCAGGGAGCTGCTGGGATGAACCAGTCTTTGGCAAAGTCTTGGAACTGAGACCTTGTTTTCACAAAAGGCTTCAAAAACCTTTCCTCACAGGTGTTGTATAACTGCTTTAGAATTCTGCACAGTATTATTGGGGTTGGACACATATTTCAGGAGTGTGTCTATCTCCTCCTTAATGTTAGACCTTGGCATGACTAGTGGAGTGAGGATGCTGCCACACCAGAGCATTAGTCCAGTTTCTTCATGGTTTTGATGATTCTGTGACATTTTCAGTTACTTTCATGTTTAGGAATGGGGATCTTGGCATTCAAATGGATAGCAAGGCAAGAATATTTCCTCAAATAGGAACATTTCCCTGTTTTGTGTGCTGATGATAAGGGGTATTAAGGCCTTTATGATTTTGACTGTGTAATACATTGTCCATTGAAGAGGCATTGCAGTTTGACTTGTAATCATCCATATTAAGAGTTGAGAAGAGTAAATCAGCATTAATGTTCAACTGACCTTAAGTTTTTAATCTAGTTACTGGTGGGGTTACTAGTGATGACAATTAGTTGTGGATGTCTGTCCATTTGGAACTGCATAAAGTTGGTATCTTGAATTACTTTGTCAAATTCCTATGATATATTTTCAGCAGCTATGCAGAGAAGAAAAACAAGCATTTCCCAAGCTGCATCTTGAATTTGGGCTGTATCCTGATTCAAATCAAAGTTAGACCAAGGAATGTGCCAAACTTCCACCTTTCTTCTAGCTTCTTCCTTTCTGCTGTGGTTTCCACAAGAAAGTGCAGGGTGGAGAGAAGCAGTGGCAAACAGTGGTCAAGGACCAGGATCTTAGCCCGTACTCTGGGTTGTGCCCATCAGAGTTTGCAGCTGTCTGTATAGCTTCTGGTCATCCGGGTCAAGTACAGCTCCTCTGCCTGTGTTTTCCTCCGTTTTTGCAGTTGAGTCAGCAGGGAAGATATGCCTGTGAAAGATACTAAAAACACTTGAAACTGTGCTTTTTGTTTGAGATACTTAACTGTTGAGGACCAGGAATCAGAATGGGAATGATTTCAGGAGTGGAAAAAGATGTACAGTCATTGAAAGGACTTTATGATACAGACTTTACAGTTCTTATGTGTTTATAAATATACACATTGTATGTTTCCCCAGGATTTGTATCTCCTGGGCATGCCCAGGCATGCCCGCTTCCCTGCTTCCCTCTCTGATAGGCTGAAGAAGCTGCAGAGAGGAAACAGTTACCATTTGCCCTTTCCTTCCCTGGTTCCTCTCACGTTCCTCCCCGTTTTGCCTGTGTCCCTACCCCGATTTGTTCCCCTGTTTGTCTGTCTCATGCTCCACCCCATGTTCTAGCCCTTTCCCCTCCTGGACTCATAAAAATCCTGTGCACACCTCAATAAAGCATTCCATTTGCACCCCTACCTTGACTCCGGACCCCTCCGTGCTGTGTCATGGCCCCATCCCCCCTCGGACCGTGGCATTTAACATCTTGGCTGTTTATGTGTTTTGTGATTTGACATATGCCCCTAAGTGGCTTTTTGCAGCCACCTTTGCTCTTTGTATTGAGCAACAGCAGGAATGCCTATATTTTGCACTGAAAATGCAAATGCTTGTGTTTGCATGTATGCAAATATATATGTGTGTTCCCAGACATCTCCTCTGCTTGCTATTTGATTTATTCCTTTCTGTTTACTCTTGCAGCTGGCAGATTTCCGAGAGGTGGTCTCGCGGATGCTGGGCCTCAACATTGCCAGCCTGGCTCTTCCTGACTATGAAATCATTACATGTCTTGAGGAGTTGATTCACTCTTATCAGCACCACTGCTTCCCCTGTGTCTGCCTCAAAGACGTGCCAAGGGCACCAGAGGAGCAGCAAAGAAATGTACAGCTTCTTCACTGAAAGGAGATGGAACAAAGTAAAATTTTTTTTTTGCTTAAGGCCTTACCTGCCACACATCTACAGAAAAGAGATACTTATTTCTATTCCCTACTCTACAGACACCGACTAAGGCTGATTTTTAGAATTTCAATAGGGAGACTGAGCGAAATAGATAGAGTAAAGCCAGGAGCCTAGAGATGGCAAAGAGAAAATCTCTGGGCAGCATAATGCTTCAGTTATGAAAATGATAGGCCCTTCAGTTATGATCAGCGAGACCCTCCAGTTTCATTGCAGAGGCACTGAAGTCATGGGCCACCATGGGCCACATGACCAAACATGTCAGTTCACAGTTTTGGAAAGCACTTGAGAAGTTAGTAAATGTCCACTTTAGTGTCATTCCTTCTGATTTACCTCTGGGTGTCAAGGATAAAATAAAGTAGGGGTTGTCCTGCTGCTGTTTCTCTTGCCAAATGGGACCTCTCTGCATTTTTACACATAAGGACTTTAGCTTCAAGATAGTCATCTGGAAGTTAGAGGATTATCTCAATTTTTGAACATGAGATTTTTTTTTCTTTTATTTCTGTTGTTTTCCTTTTCTGCGTTTGTGCAAAACAAGAAGTTTTGCAGCAAAGGCTTTTCCACAGGCTCCTGTCATGTGCCTGATGTAGATATATTTGGTAAAATTGAATGGTGACCTTGGTCATGATGCCTTGAAAAGTTTTCTTCTAGCTGCTGTATTCCTTGGGCAATTGATCCACAGGCCAAATAAATGGTGATTGTTCTGAGTTAAGGAAATTTTAAAATTGTAAAATGCTTGTCCATTACAGAAAATACGCGAATTACTAAAGTCTTTATTTTCAGAGAAACAATGATGAGGTGTACAGAACTACCTCTTAATCATAAAAACTGCTTTCTATCACCTTTTCTGAGTGTTGTTAAACTTTATGATTTTTTAAAGGAAGTATGAACAGTAAATCTGCTTTCATAGCACTCTCAACTTCATTCTGTGTTTTTAGTTTTTTGTTCCCATTATATGTTTTGTATGGATGTGTAGAACAATAAAGAAGACTAATCTATTTATGTCTGACCATTTGTGGGCTTTCTACAGTATCTCAGCAAATGATAACCCACTCAGTAAAACTGAACACACTATTTTAGGAAAAATTACACTTTTTCAAGTAGGAGTGGTAATTTTGGTATCTGGCTACAGACTCAAAGCATGCTTTTATTTCACTTGCCTCTGAAACTTCTCAGTGAATTGTTTGTAAAACAAATCAGTCATTGGGGGAGATAAACTAAATCATATTTTCTTATGCTCCTGTGGCTACCTGGATTAAAAACAATTTCATTTCTTGTTTTATCATGTAACATTGTTTTGGAGGGAATGGCTTCAAACTGAAAGAGAGCAGGTTTAGATTAGATGATAGGAAGAAATACTTTTCTATGAGAGTGGTGAAGCACTGGAACAAGTTGCCCAGAGAAGCTGTGAATGTCCCATCCCTGGAAGTGTTGAAGGCCAAGCTGGATGGGGCTTTGAGGAACCTGGTCTAGTGGAAAGTGTCCCTGCCCATGGCAGGGAAATTGGAAATAGATGATCCTTAAGGTCCCTCCCAACACAAACTGTTCTATGATTCTGCAATTCTTTTTTTTAAGGTAAAGTTTAATAAATGGAACAAAGGAAAAAGCTAACATTAAATTATATAGACTTAAACTTGGCACAACAAATTCCAAGTAAAGTAAGAGATTGAAATGTTGAAGGCATGATATCTTGGTTGGGAATTTAGAGGGTGGAGATGGATGCAATAGTTTTCTAATTCTTTGTGAGATAATACAAGTAGTTTCAGTTTGTGTTTTGCTGGTTCTATAGGCACTGCTGCTTGAGTTATTACTCAAACAACAAAACCTGTTTTCTTCATCAGTGTTAATAAATATCATACAAAGCATGATTTGCCATAAATTGCAAGTTAAGTAAATTACGTTACAAATTTAGGTCCACTCAGCCCAGTTAATACATTTATAACTTCAAGAAATAATCTCTGAGAGTGCCAATCTTAAAGTAAGTTTGCATATTTGTCCAAATTTTATGGTTGCGAAATGATTTCCTAATGTCTGCCAGCAGACTTGGAATCTCCTGTCGTACTCATCAGCCCTGTATCCTGCCACCGTGTGACCAGCCCTGGCACCATCAGTGAAGTTCCAGCCCCACAGAAGCCACGAGAAAAGTTCTCCAAATTACTTTAGAGGAGGCAGATTTTCACATGAATCATAGAATATGCTAAGTTGGAAGGGACCCATCACGATCATTGAGTCCAACTCCTGGCCCTGCACAGGACACCCCAAGGGTCACACCATGTGCCTGAGAGCATTGTCCAAACGTTTCTTGAACTCTGTCAGGCTTGGTGCTGTGACCGCTGCCCTGGGGAGCCTGTTCCAGTGCCCAACTACCCTCTGGGTGACAAACCTTTTCCTAATATCCAACCTAAACCTCCCCTGAAACAACTTCATACTGTTCCCATGAGTCCTGTCACAAGAGTGAAGAGATCGCTTCCGGCCCCTCCTCTTTCCCTCACGAGGAAGTTGTAGACTGCAATGAGGTCTCCCCTCAGTTTCCCCTTCTCCAGCTGAACAGACCAAGTGACCTCAGCTGCCCCTCATACAGCTTCCCCTCAAGGCCCTTCACCATCTTTGTTGCCTTCCTTTAAAGGGACACTCTAATAGCTTAATGTCTTTTATACTGTGGTGCCCAAAACTGCACACAGAGCTCAAGGTGAGCCTGTGCCACATAAAGTTGGTAGTGATGCTTGATTACTGGCTTGTGTGTTAAGCCAACAGAAAGTGGAATTAAGAGTTTTCTAATGCCTTTTTTTTAAATTATTATTTATACTGTGGATCGGTATTTTCCGAAGTATTAATGCTCATCATGTTCATAAAGGAATATGACCTATTATCTGACTGTTAATATTCCCTGTATTTGTTTTATTTTTAGAAGAGTACTGACATCTTTCTTCATTTGGCCAAAGCGAATAAATAAATTAAAAAAAAAGTAAAGAAGGAATTTGATGTGAACAAAGTTAGGTGATTTTTGACCCATGTAATTTAAGTAACCCCTGAACAAAGTTTAAACTGACTTGCAATCTTTTTTTAAGTTTTTTTTCATACAGCACTGAAGTTACTCTTTTGGAAAAAAGATGAGAACAGACTCATGAATGTTTTCAACATTTGTTTCAAATGTTTCAAGATGCATTCAACACAAGACAGGTATGATAGAAACTTTAAAGTGTGGATTAAGGTTGTGTCAAAAGACACTCCTCTTCCACTAGATTATTTTTATTGGGTTTGTTCATATTAATACAAGGTGTGGGATTAAGAGTTTGCTGTCTGTTCATAATGACTTTTATTGTGGTAAAGGATTCTTGATTTATCAACAGAATGTGTTAACTCACAGAACAGCACAGTTACAGGGCTGCATTTTTTTCTCCAATTAACAGCTGAACCAACTCCAATTAAGACAAATTCACTACTAAGTGTTAAGGCAAAATTCAACAAATTAAAATGTTGCAATTGTAGATACTGAAATGAAACAATTTACATGCCGTAAACATTGTAATAATAAAATCACAAAGCAAATAGAAAAGTGAGTGTTACAATGTTATGAGTGTATTAAAATACACGCAACTGAATTTTTGCCTATGCATCGTGTTGTTGATAATACGTTCTTTGCAATACAGTAGAACCATGCATGAGAACATTAATGTAGTAGAACCATGATTTCTCGAAGTAGTAAAGTGCAAAAGTATTCAAGTACTTTGCCGAATTAGAATTAGGAAGCATAAAGACATATCACATTAAATTACTCCTTGACTTATGTTGCTCTAGAGTTTATTATTACTGTATGAAGAAGTTTGCTTGCTTTTTCACATTTTCTTTCTGCGGATGTGTGCATCATCCACATTTTCCTAGGGCCTGCTTAGTTACTGGATTATTTGCACATTACGATGCTGCAGGAGAGGGTAAATATGGATGACCCAAGTCATAATAGATTTTAAATTAAACAAAAGGCAGATGGGGAAATCAGTTATATTTCTAGAGAAAAAGTAATGTATTCTCCCAAATTCTTCATGTGAAATAGAAGTATTTTCTAAGACTACAGATGCTGACCATTTCTCTTGACCATCTAAAAGAAAAAGGTGAGGAATGGAGCAAAATGATGTGAAATTCTCTATGAAATTAGAGAAAAGGGATATCTGATACTACTGAAGCACATAAAATTAGTTAACTATGTGGAAAATAAAAAAATGATAGCTTGCCAGAATAGAAATGGGAGAGAATGTTCAAAGATAATCCTTTTCAGATGGAAGATTTTCAGATTATTTTTCGTTTGTCAAAACAAGTAAGAATCCTCAGTGACAATGCTTTTTCTTCTGGAAGAAAAGGAGATGAGTTTATTAGACTGCACTCATAATTAGTGAGGAATAACTGAGTCAGAAATGAAAAATCTAAAAACCACAACAATTTGTTGAATAAAAGAGGTGACAATTTTAAAGTCAGCTAATGAGCCCTGAGACAAAGAAGAACACTTATTTTTCAGAAGGGAATAAATAAAACAGTTGAGGTATGTTTTTTTTCATTTTTTTTCCCTGTCACTACTTACTTTGGATAAGTAGGAGAAACAAGACAAAGATTGCATTGTCAGCAAGTGAACTCCAAACAGTTAGCTTCAAATTGGTCCCAACTGGAGAAACCAAGTGTCAGATGGCTTTTGGAGAGCAGGAAGTCTCACCAAGCTGGGAGCTGAATAGGTTTTGGCCCTGTGGCATGTGTACTTTTTACAATTTTTGTTATAAATTTGTGTTTTTATAAAGTGCTTTGGGCTTTTTTTTTTGTGATGGAATGTTAATGCGTTGGGTGGGGAGGACAAGTGCTTGGTTATAAACAAAACGTTAAATTTTCTATTACTAAAATAGGCCAATGAGTGCAATTTAATCTGAAAAAAAGAACCTTGACCCACAAAATATTCCTGTTACCATGTCTTAGTAGTGACAAATGCTCTTTGGGGCGCTGATCCTCTGGTCAGAGGATCAGAGCTTAGTTTCCCCTTCCAAAATCAGGATGCTAGGGGCAATTGTTCCTGCTGGGCAGTGCAGCCAGCCCCTGCCTGTGCCAGGCAGGCAACCCTGTGGGCAGCAGAGCCCCTTCCCAAGGGCTGCCTGGGTCTGGGTGGCCTGGGCTGGGTGTGCTCACACTTTTGCGTGCTGTCTGTCTCCCCATAGGCTGCCAAGTCCTCTCCTCAGCCGTGACCCTGGCCAGCTGGGATGCTGTACTGCTCCTCAGGCCGCACGCTGGGAGCTCTGATTACAAAACAAATACGCCATGGTAGCTGTGGGATGCTGAAAGACCTTGCCCAGTGTTGCTGTGAAGGCAGCAACATGCCAGCAGAGCTGACTCAGCCCTTTCCCTGTCTGGTCATGTTTTCGTGCTGTGAGGAAGAGCACGACCACATCGGCTCTGTGGGCTGTGGCAGGGCATTAGGGAGAGCCTTGCAAATGGGGCTGTAAATCTGGGCAGAGCAAAGAGGCACCTCTGGTCCCAACAGGGAGTGTCTGTAGTCTGTAACCTGTGCTTTAGTTGACGACCAGGCTCCTCTTGGGCTAAAGCTGCGTGAAGTAAGAAGCACTAAGACTATTTCACTAAGCATTTCAAAGCATTTCTTCTGTGTATCCTTCATACTGCAGTAACAATGTAAAAATATGCAGTACAAATTATAAAGTAGCAGTATGAATTGATATGGGCAGCCACTCTGACTGGCTTCTTGACCTTAGAGAAGATCAGAGACAGGCATCTCAAAGGACAAGCAGAAATGCAGTACTGGCAAACAACTCTCAGACCTTTCTCTGAGGACATTTTCTTTCGTAGTTGCCACATGCTCCATTAGATTTGCTGTCATTCACAATATCTTTCTCACCCTGATCTTTCACAGATCACTTACCTGCAGCAAAGTCTCTGTGGCCAGCCCTGTTCTTCATCTGGCAAGGTTTTCAAGTCCATCCTTGCAAGGACTGTGGTGTCAGCCGGTTTGTGCAGAGTTGCTGGAGAAATCCGTCCACACTCTTGCTCTGCTGCCAGTTTCCATCGCTCAGACCTGGCAGCCTCCTCCTGCGCTGTGCGCTTCACATCTAGCCAGGGCATGATTGGACCTTTGCAGTGTTGTGTGGCATTCAGCAGCCATCAAGCTACAGTTCACTTGTGTAAGACTGCAGTGTCTTTTAGACTACACTTGAAGAGGTTTCATACCCTTTTAGGTAATTTTCTGGAGCTGCTGGAGTGAGGGCAGTCAGTCCATGCCTGTGTGGGTAGAAGAAAGAGCAGAAAGGTTTTGGTCAACCTAAAGGGATCCTATGAAGTAA